TAAAACAGCCAAAAAGATGGAGGCTACTGGTGAACCTTGCGCTAAAACGTGGTAGTTCCCTAAAACCGTGCGTGTTCAGCGCTGCTGCATTTTGTGGGACTGCAGCGCGAAGAGAAGGTGACCCCAGCGTAGTGACCAAAGGAAGTCCACCATCTGGTCCCGGCCTGTAAAACGGATCCCGCGTAGTGGGTTTTTGTCCTGTACGTGTTTGTGTAGTTGTACGAGCCTGCTCCCTCTCAGCCGAACAGTCTGTGTGTTCAATCCCCACCTCCTAATGTTTGTGACAGCAGAGTTTTTACATCTGTAGTTTTTCAAACGTGTTGCTCAACTTCCTCTTCCATGTGCCTCCGAATGGCATGAGAGCATGACCCTTACTAAACCCCTAGTAGTGTAACCTGACACAGGGATGCACGTGTCCGTCATTAACCAGTGAAGCAATCTGGAGAAAATGATTCTTTCTACATCTTCTCTGTGTCTTACTTTCCCGTCTCGTTATAGCACGGAGAGGCCGTGGGAGGAAGTTAACACAATTGCCAAAAATTATGTCGCCCAACCTAAAATCGAAATTTATTAGTAAAGCGCTAGTTACTACAAATGTTACACATAAGGCATATTTGTTTGATGTTGACGGTTTAATCTGCCCGTGAGCTGATTTGTACGTTTTACTTACCTGAATGTTTTTGTTGTCGTCTCTTCCTATCCTTTTCTCCTCCCCTCCCCTCCCCGTTGTTCATTTCCTGTTTTAAGGCCCAATCCCTTACAATGGCTACCAATCCAGAAGGTGAAAGGCTCATTCTGGTTCAGGTCTCATTTGGCTGAAGGTCAGAGATGGACGCTGAACTGCTCTGTGCTTTCCATCAACGATATTGACTACCACTAATGAACTTACTAGCTGCTGTACATGCACTTAGCTTCCTTGCACTGCTAAAAATTATTGCCTGACCCGTTTTTGCCTGTTAATCGTGTATTCTAGACCCTAATTGGAATAAGCTAAAGCAGGCAGATTGTGCAGTGTATAATAAGCACAGTATTACAACTGGACATTTGACAAATTCTGGTGGTGGTTTCCAACTAACTTGGCTGTCTGTTGGTGGGTTTCCAATTGCTCCAGCTTATTAATTTTGTTAAATGTTTCCACTGTTCCTTTATGTGAATAGAAGATGTGTATTTAAAGATTATATATATACTCACACACGTTATGTATATCTATATGTAAAATGTCAATTTCCTAATGAGTGCTTTAATTTTCTACTCCCCTTCTCCTGTGTTAACCGTATGAATACTCTTGGTGGTGGTGGGTTAAGGTGGATACGGTGAGCCAACTGATCAAGACATCCCAGTAGTGCAGTTGCCACATAACTCCTACCAAATCTATGACCCCGAGGACCTTTATGATGGTGAGCAACAGCTGTATGTAGTTCAGGGGTCCTACCCCTTACCATCCCCATACTCCCAGTCCTCCTATCCATCACCTCATCTTGCTCAACCAGAGTTTACTCCTGTTCGAGAAGAGACGGAAGCCGTTGAACTGAGATCCCCAGGAATTAGTCGCTTCACAAGGAAGATAGCCAAAAGGAGCGTCAAGACTCCGGTACGCAAAAGGGCGAATGGAAAAAAACCCTCTCGATGAACTGTTTAAAAAAGGGAAATGTGTTATGTGCATCCGTGTTTGGCCTTTTGTCCAGGTGCCTAACCTGTCACGGAAGATGTTTACAGGCTCTTGTATTAAAGGAGAAAAAGAATGTACATGGCCAGTTGACACAACAAATAACGGTAATTATCTTGCATGCCAGAAACTTAGTATGTTAGTGGGTTGGTGCTAGATGATGATGAAAGGTCACTTGTAGATCTTTCTCTGGAGTACTGTTCCCTACACTATTCAAACTGTATCTAAAAAACCGCATCAGGCTAGTTGGTGTACGTAGAACCATGCAGAGAAGTTAATGTGGTTTTTTTTAATCCATGTTTTTCCCGTTGATTATGTTCCGTTAGTTTTGGATGAATTGCTTTACTAGCAGAGTAACCCTACTAAACTCACCAGAGAACAATGCATAATCAGGTTTCCTTGAACCCAGCTATTACTTTTGCAAAGAAATCTTATGTTAATGGAATATTTTTTTTAACCCACATTATATAAATACACAAGAATGTTCCGTGGGAGCACACTGATAATTTATTGTGAACCTCTTTCATTTCTGTTTTGTACGCAAATAAAAGTGGCAAGCTTTTATACATTAATTCTGTATTTGATTGATTTTTAGCTTGGAACAACTGTATGCATATTTGGGGAACAGAATGTAAAGAGAAGAAAGTACATTTTCCTTTTCAACACTTTTGGGCAACAGTTTTATTTTAAAGGATATAGGCACTTAGTAGAAACAATATTTAGCCTTATTTTTAAAATTATATATGAACAGTGTAGAGAGTAACTATGGGATGAGGTGGTCGTGTCATCTATGGACGTGAGATTTTACATATTGACACGCCAAGGCTAAAAGACTGGCAGGTGTAGTCGCGAAGGCAACTTGGATCAGCGAATGACGAGAGGAAGGAAAAACCCCAACCCAACCACTTGAGGAGCACAAAGCAATTCATTATGTTAAAGCAAACCAGGTAAATTATAAAGTGACTCAATGAACAGCTTTGAACGGCACTATGGAGACTAAGCATCAAAGCAGGATTTAACGTAGAAGCTCAGAAATGTTCATTTAAGTTGAAAGCATAGATTCGGACCGCTTCTAATCCAGCCCTATAAAGACACGTAGCGAGGATGGCCTGTGGATCCCAGGACTGTGTTCCTGCTTGCCCCTGAGTGGGTTCGATCTGTTCGTGCTCAGTTAAAGAAAGACCAGTAAAGAAAGAAAGAAGCTTTTGCTTCTGGCCACTGCCAGACACCCTCTTAGCTCACCAGGAAGAAGACAAACTGGTACCTTTGCTGTGTGATCTCACATTATCTGGCCTAGAATTCAGCCTTGTTAGTAACACAAAACATTTATACATGTGACTAACACCCACAGCTGTGTATATCCCAGGGCAAGACCTGGCTAGGTGGCTGTATGACTTTCTATGCTGTGTTTCTGTTCTCCTGTTATTTCTCTCACCCCTAGCTCCCACCACTTCCTTAGAGAAAGGTGAGAGAAGCTGATGGAAACGTGAGTTGAATGTCATTTCCTTACCTGGACATGCATTTAAAGTAGAAGGTAGAAAACTATCGCTCATCTTACGGACTTCACCTTCAAGCAGCTTACCCCCAGTTTACAGAATACTTCAGCACCAAGTGAGCACGGCTGTGTGCGCACACACGTGCCTATCATAGCCTGGCACACATAGTTGACAGAGAGATATTACTAAAATTAAAGGTTATGGGTGCATCACATGATTAACTAACTTACCTGCTTGCACTTGGCTGTGAACACCCATGTTAACTTGCCCCGAATGTGAACTCTCTCTCTGCCCCCTTCCCGGCTGGCACTCCCCCACCCATGTGTTGTACTGACACCTTCTAGAGTCTTCCCCATGATGTGCCAAATTGTAGGTCCTGTGGAAGCGACTCTGAGACGGTCACTGATGGAAAATCAGCGTTCAAGCAATTCTGCCTGTGTCATCTCAGAAAGACTTTGAGCCTCACGTTACAGTTCATAATTAATTTGCACCCCAGACTGGTCGTCAAGCAAGGCTATATCCAAATCTCAAGCTCCTGTGGGACCAGGAAGAGCAGTAGGGCAAAACCAGGGACGTGCGGAAGACAGCATAGACATAGTCAAACGCTTCAAAATAAGGCAATTGGTGTTATTTATTTGCCCCATATTTGAAATGAACAGTAACAGCCTGACCAAATCCCTGAGCGTGCCTGTGCTGTGCGGTTGGTGTCACCCACGCTGTGCCCCTCCAACAGTTCCTGCACTGGTCCCCAGTTGTCCGGGCTGGGGGCGCAGCTGGGAGCAGCACTGCACCCTTCTGCCCACGGGGAACCCGGGTGCCCCCGGCCTGTGGGGTCCCCAGCTCTGGGACACGCACCCGACTGGCCACCAACACAACCATCATCCCCCTCGCGCCATATGGGATGTACATGCAGCGAATCAAACAAACGATTACTTGGGGGTAATAAAGTAGGCATACTCACTACAATTTTCTAACTTACTTTACATACTAATGCACAAACTTTAATTGCACTAGTTAGTTTAACTTTGTATTTATAATGACATTTACTGGCACCCCACTAACCAGACGCTTCATGTATCACCGGTCATACGTTCACTTGCTGGGTACACCTTGGTAATGAAAAGTAACCGGTGGGCACTACCAAGTTATAAAAACATTATTCAGGATTTCTACGTTCGCCAGAAAAAGTAAGAAAGAGAGATGCAGATGGTCAACATTTTCTCCAAAATTCAGTCTCTGAATAATCACGAGTGTCTCGTATTTTTCCAGCCGGCCTAAGAAACTGAAGTTGCCGACTGTAAAGTATTCAGCACATGATGAACAGCTGATGCCACCCAGATCTTACCAATACTGTGTCCTTACACAAAAAGGAGCATTTACTTTAACCTACTCCTTTTAAAAATACTTTTACTAGTTAATTACATGTGGTTACTGACTTGGAAATGAAGTCTGCACGTTCACTGGATAGGAACGGTTCCCAGGATAAGCTCATCTGAATGCCAAAGAAACGCCTGAAACCAAATCGTTATTTCATATAATGAAATATGATTATAAATATAACAATGCTTTTCTTCTTATATGATGCTTGTGTACAACAGATATAGAAAACAAATTTTCCTCACCAAACATTGTAAAATTTGGCAGATGATAACATATCAGCACCTTTTACTATACAGAAAACAACAGGTGTGTCATTTATCTACACAACAGCTTTGGCTTGAGGGTTATCTGGACAGAAAAGCAGTAATGAACTTCAGGGAAGTAATTTGCAGAAGCAAAATAATTTTTAAAACTTATTTTGCATCATTCAACACATTAGTTTTCTTATTTGGTTTTCATAAGAAAAATGTTGCTGCTTCATTCTTTAATACATTTGTTAAGTAAGGCAGGCGTGTTTGCGTGACTTGAATCAAAATGAGATTTGGGCAGAAACACTCTTTCTAGAAGGCTGCTGAAGACTGCGAGATAAACTCCCACGGGACATAAAAAATGACCATCAGAAATCTCACCGCTTCCTCATTTCTCCAAGATGCATCTTTTAACAATATTTTTCTTATCTCTGAAAGGACTACAGTAGGCATGCACGCATGTTTGGTACGTGCACTGCTTCCTCTGAAGAGCTGTGTTTTTCTAATGCAATTTGGCTCTGGAATAAGTTTGATTTTGCTTACCACCACCACAGTAACTGCAGTGGGTATACTCACCTAAAAAGATAAGGAAACTGCAGGCCTGCATAGACATGTGTGCAGCAAAATCTAATCGTGAATTTCATACGGTATATACACTCCGCATTCTAGAAGAGGCTTTTGGGAGAACCGCACAATATATTACAGAAGTAATCAACAGCTCAAGCCACTGTTGGGTTTTTTTTTTTTTTTTTTCACATCCCCCAAAGAGAGAACGAGTTCTACATGAACAATTTCCTTTTTCTGTACTAAGACTGGCATCCTCTTATTCACCAAGCTGTGTAAAGATGGATCGATCACCTGTTTTACCAGAAAAGCAAATCAGACTATTTACCGACACCGTGCCGTTCGTGGGAGCTCTCTGAACATAATTATTCGCTGCTCTTACTGCATGGAAATCAAGTTTTGCAACTTTTAAAGCGAGATACTTCAGTAAACAATGTACTGTTTCCACGAGATGTAAATATTCATTAAAAATGTATCAATTCTTTAATAATACTATTAAAGCAAATGTAATTAACAAATACCAGGTCATACAACTCAGAGTACAGGTGGCATCAACAACATAATATCCATTCTTAGCTGTTTCAAATACAGTAATTTCTGTAATCTTTCCAAATAAAGTTTGCTAACACCTGTCAGAAACATTCTGTATAGAAGGGTTGACTGAGATGCACAGATGCTTCCATGTTAGAAGAATTTTTTTTCAAGGAGGAGACATTCCTGATGGCAGTTCTTCTTCTTTTATTGTTATTAGTTCCTTCGAAAATCTTTAGGTCTGGGGAAAAAAAAAAGAAAAAAAAAAAAGGGCCTTTTAAGAATTTTAACAGGAACAAC